GAGTCTCGGCTGTAGTTCCAGTTGAAGGAGTCAATGTGGTTCCTGATGTTTCCGGAGTCTCTGGAGTCTCGGCTGTAGTTCCAGTTGGAGGAGTCAAGGTGGTCTCTGATGTTTCTGGAGTCTCTGGAGTCTCGGCTGTAGTTCCAGTGTGAGGAGTCATGGTGGTCCCTGATGTTTCTGGACTCCCTGGAGTCTCTGTGGTTCCAGTTGGAGGAGTCAAGGTAGTTCCTTGTGTCTCTGGATTCTCTGGTGTGGTTCCAGTTGGATCACGAGTTGGTGGTGTTTCAGTCATGTCAGGACCTGAAAAAAAAGTTGAACACGCTGTAAAGTATCGGTTGTCTTACCAGTTGGTGGATATCTTGGTGTTGTAGTTAACCGAGGATCTACAGTGGTTTTGTTATGACAATCCCAATCGACCCCTGGCGGAGTTGGAGGGAATCCAGGATAGTGATTGCATCCGTGGCAATCTTCTGGTTTTGGAGTATTGGGGTTAGGATTGATGTGCCCTAATAATCATAGTTCTTGTTTCGATAAATAGGAAATTAACATACCGGTTGGATTATCGTTTTGTGGTCCTTGATTTGAATGTGTTTTTACGTGATGATGATGTACTGTTGGATGTGCCTTCGGGTGTGCTTTAGGATGTGATTGCGTCTTTGCATGCTTTGTATGTCTGTGACGATCTGAAAACAATTAGGTTAATGCTTTATTTCGAAGTATCTTCCTTACCTGGCCTCGTGGTGGCTAGTACGCCATGATGAATTACCAGCGCAAAAAGTAAGAGGAATGAAAGTCTCTGCTTCATCCTGCAACAAAATATGTGGAACCTCAAACATAATAAAATCAGAAGAAACAAGTTTTGGAAAAAACGGTTTCAAAATGGAACGGAAACCTCTTCACGGCGCTCAATGCTACACTGCCCGCTGTTTTTAAGGCTTTTTCATTTTTATAGTTGCTGCCTGCGCTCTTTCTGCTGATGTTTTATGCGGGGGATATAAAATTGCAAACCATATTTCGGTTTACAGAAGCTTTTTTTCCAGTTCTTCTTCACTGCAAATTTGCGGTTCAACGGTTCAAGATAGAATGAGAATTCTGGAAATTGCGGAAACTGGGAGTGTGGAGTGTCGCTGAAAATAGAAGCAGGGTCACCATGGGAAGCTGTTTGAACATTTCCATCATCAAATCGAAGGGTACTCGTAATTATATGATTTGACTGATTTCCTTGAGATAATCGACAATCCCGGAAATACTGACTGAAAAATAATGATGTTGAAAAGTCATTTGTGATGTGGAAGAGTAATTGATTTTATGCTATAAAAATGTTTTTTCCTGAAATTTGGACACTTACTATTAACATCAAATTAACATTGGAAAAAAACCTTTTTCTCTTTAGAGTACTGAGCCTTTAGTGAAGAGAGACATCAACAGGCGTTATAGTCTGGCTTATCAACACTAGTTTTATTAGTTAACCGTTTGGTTAACCTTTTTCTGAGCATCATTTTTTTTTGTTCGCGATTTATTGTTTCCCGACCAGACGGTTTAGAACTGGAACTGATAATTTCGTTCAAAGATAATTAATTTTGTAACTAGACAGAAATTGTATGCAGAGAAAAAATACATCTGCTATTCAGGCCATATAGTTTCAGGCCAGATTATTTTATTCAGGGCCTGAAACTTTGGGTCATAGATTAAAATTGAAAACGGAACTTTTTATAACATACATATGTTATAAAAAAAATATTCTTGATTAAAAAAAATAATTACCGTATTTTCTCTAATAGAAGCCCACTTCTAAAAGAAGCCCACCCCGCGAGGTGCTTCGAAAAATAGAAGCCCACCCTCTAATAGAAGCCCATGGGCGTCTATTAGAGAAAATACGGTGATTAAAAATTTCAGAATTTTTGGAACTGGTATTTAAGAACTTGAAAATTTCTCAATTTCTGATCTGCAGAATTCCTGAATTTTGAATTTTGAGACTCTGGAATCTCAAAATTTCATAAATTCCGAATTTCGGAGTTTTGAATTGCAGAATAAATACTTCGAATTAAAAAAAACCTCGAAGTGCAGAATTCTTAACTTCCGAATTGCCAAATTTCTGATTTTTTTTAAAAATTTTTTTGAAATTAATCATTGAAAAATAAAAGCCCACACTGAGAGAGTGGTTGAAAAATAGAAGCGCATGGGCTTCTATTAGAGGAAATACGGTAAGTCAAAAATACTAAAACAATCTTTTGAGAAAATCGACGCTGACTGTTTTCTTGATTTTTTCTTACAAAATTGTTTTACATGGTCCAAATTTCAGATGGAAAAAATTATTTAGGCCCTAACTTTTTTACAAATGCAAGATTTGTGCCTGAAATTTTGTTTTATAGTCCAAAAATTAGACGCAGAACATTTTGGTTAAAAAAATCGAAAAAATTTGATTATTTTTGGTCAGAAAGCTGAGGGGTTAAAAATGACTTTTTTGAGCCAAAAATGTTTGTTAAAATTTTTTGATTTTTGTTTGCCTGAAAATGTTCCATATATGGTCTATTTCCGAGTACTTCTCTATTTCAGACCGGGATCTTTCCTCTGTAAGAAGTTATAGAAAAAAATCTGAAAAATGGCTTTTGAAAAAAATCTTATTCTGGTCATATCTTAATTCAGAAATTCTGGAATTCAGAAATCCAGAAATTAAGAATTTTTGAAATTCAGAACTTTCGAAATTCCGGAAATTTTGAAATTCAGAGATTTTAGAATACAGCAATTCTGAAGCCTTGAAATTCTGAAATTCAAAATAGAACCAACATTTGAGAAAATCAAAAAATGACAATTTTGTAAAACTTTAATCCTGTAAATTCCGAAATTTTCAAAGTCCGGATGTTGAAATTGCAAGAAATTGTGAATTGTCTCTATTTTTCAGGATCCACCATTTCGTCCCAGCTGTCCATCTGCCATTATGGTCGAGGAGAAGACGTCGAGAGAAGGCGCATCTAAATAAGAGGGAGCAATTGCTGAAAGATCTCGAAATTCGAAACAGAAAAGTGTCTGCATGAAATGGGTAAATGGGCATTTTTTTTGAATTTTTTGTCATTTTGTCGAATTGCCTCAATTTTCAGCCGACATCGTCAAAAGAGAAACGTATCAAGCACGAGACAAACAAGACGAAGGCAGGAAAAAAGGAATACGACGAGAAAGGGATCCAAGAAGAATCGGCAGACTCATCGGCAGACAATCGAAAAGAAAACTTTTGAAAGTTTCTGGAACGAAAAAAAATAACTTTTCGAAACAAAAAGGTACTGATTAGCCAGACATTTCGTCTGTTGATCCCTTTCGCCACGTAGAGGCTCAGTACATGAAAGGGAAAATGGTTTTTCACCGGGAGAAAATACCAACCAAAAATCCCATTGTTCTCCATCTGATCAACAGTCGAGCTGTGCTCCAGTCTAGTGATAAAGGCGTCCAGCAAACCGTAGCCCGCATGGCCGCCTACACCAATCTAGCCCAGTGCCCAACTGGCCTACTTCACAAACATCGAACACCTGAACTGAATTTCTGTGCCCTTATATACGAGGAGAGGTGGGCATTGGTTCATACTCCATTGTTCACATACTAAATGGTGCACCTGGCAAGTTGTAAAAAATATAACTAGACAATGCGATATTGAAAAATGCGCAACCGAAAATCGTTAACTCAAACAATCTCTGAAAATCTTGCAGAGTTATCTTGAAAAAATGATAAAAGTCATCGAAATTCTACTACGGGATGTAAGTGGGGAAAGTGAGTCAACCTTCGTCAGCATACTTTATATTTGAGCTATGACCCCCCGCAATTCTAGCGGAAATTTCCCGAGAAAAATGACAATTTTAGATTTGGACCATCAGAAACTTTAGGGTTGAACATCATGATGCTCCACTGTAACTCTGTTTTTTTTCCGGGAATCGAAACACACAAAAAAAAACAAAATAATTTATTTCAAAAAAGACTATCACAAAACGATCCCAAAAAACCGAAAACCGCATATTTGTAATCCGGGCCTTCGCGGGCCATGGCATAGTTTCTCTCAGAGCCAATATTTTCGGACCAATTAATTTTGATATGATAGAACTCGACGAGTACTACAAAATGATACTATTCGAAAAACTGTATCTTGTCTATAAACAAAGTTACAGACAAAATAGTACGAAAACATGCAGACCCGGCCCGGGCCTTCCGGGCCGTCCGGGAAAAGGCACTTGATGGCCTGTAACTTTGGTCGTAGACAAGATATAGTTTTCCAAATAGTTGCATTTTGTAGAACTCGTCGAGTTCTATCACATCGAAACATATGTGGTCCTAAAAATATTGCATCTGAGAGAAACTATGCCAGGGCCCGCGAAG